GAATACATAAAAATTTGATGAACGAATTTCGCAACATTCTTTCAGTCTGATGAACTGAGTCTTTGACGCGATATAGTCTATCGAAGTGGTATTTATGAAATGAGCATACACTGAATACAGTCCAACAAAATTAGCCGCAAAGCGTTCGAAATTACTGACAAATAGTGAGCGTTTTCATGAAGGAATGAGAGGAAAATTTTTTGCGAGAGATGTAAAAGCGATAAGTGTTAATTATTGATAAGAGGGGTGTTATGCGTAATGAACTGATGCGTGATAGATTGATAACGGAAGGACGTGTCGGTTCATCACGGTTGCTATGTGCTAAGTGAACCAGTTCAACTCGGACAACAAGCACATTTTGCCGTTATTCATTCCACCAAATTTGATGATTATCGTTATCACCATCAACAAACATTCAGTGATCTGCCTCAATGAAATCATTAATTTTAAAAATTCAATTATATGATGATCAAAAGGCTCTTGTATTACCTCATATGCTAATCAAACTTCATTGAGCATAAGTCCGTTTATCTTGATAAGGTTAATTATCTTGCTGCTTGGTGAACACCTCTTAAATTGGCGTTATCATAATTGCTCTTTCAGGCAAATAATAGCCATAGTTGATAGTAATTCACTGAAGTGCAATGTCTTGAAACGTTCTATCACTTACTTCTTATCACTTCATAATCATCAAACAAAGTAAATAAGTGACGGCCCATACTGGGTCGTAGCTCGTAGCACTCGCATTTTATGATGACTAATGATAAGCCAAGGTTTGGTACAACGTACAAATCAACAACAGACAATAAATTTCTAGTATGTGCACAAGTATTTTTCTGACCAAAATCGGCTTTCACTGATTTTAAAATGTGATTATCGTAAACTAATGACCAAAAACCATCGTTAATTGATTCATCGCCTAGCAACTGAAATAAATTTTTTCGATGCCTCTCACAACAAAATTTGTTTATCAGTTTACGATGATAGGTACTCTTTGCTCAGATTACAGTTCAAAAGATCAGAGGAGATTGCATTATCAACAAGCGGATCGAGATGATACATGTGTAATCACATGATACATATGCATCGTTATAATACGTCATGATACATCGTCACATGCAACAATTATCTCTGCTACTGATAGCAATTGATTGGATGCAGCTATTCCAAAAAATTTCATGAATTTATCTCGATATTCATTTGAATTTTAAAAATGCGGACGAGTTGTGGAGAGTTACTTAAGTGGTATTGTATACAATGGTAGGTTGCTCACAGACTTGTGAGACAATTAGTGCAGACTGGAATCCAGTAAAGTAAAATATTGTGTTCTCTCAAGGTTAGAAAGAACCTTCTCGGAACTAATCTATGATTTCGTGATGTTAGATACGAACACGGATATCAAACTTTTCACTGGTATTCACCAACAAACTTCAGTGAAGTTGGTATGAACAGCTCATGAAGCTATTGATGTCGATTCGTGCCAAATAATAAACGATGAGAACCTGTTCCTTTTATTTGTTATTCTCGTCGAGAAAAGGCTCTTCTCTCTCTTTCTGGAGTTTTAATTGTGGAATAAATTTGTTGAAAAACAACAGCAACCATAACAATATTGGACAGTGATAACAGTGACGCACAGAATTATCATCAAAGGTGTTAAATTACTAACTGAAGGAATCGAAGGCGACCTCTCGATTGACATCTTAAACCAGGAAATACGGCCATAAGTTCGACAATGAAAGGATCCCGTTTACATTAATACCATGCTCGATGCCCCAAGATTCTCGAAAATGATTGCATATAGGAGATTCTCAGCTGTCAGATGGTCTACATGCTGTCAACGAATACCGCACATTTCCACATACACACTTATTCTGTAACACACTGATTCGAATATGCAGTTCGGCTTAGTTGATTTGTTTTCTCCATGATCAATGATAAATGCCCATATGAATAGCAAATATCAAGGTATATAAATTGCCACACCATCAAATGCAGCCAAATTTCTTTATGAGAACAATGATAATTGTCTCCATCCTCATATTAGTTAATTAATGCGATACTGTGTCAATGTCTGAAGCAAAATAGCAACATGCTCGGCTCTGTCTAGGAACCGAAACACTTCTTTATATCACCACATTTTCTGGAATCAACGAAATGCGCACATTCTGCTTATTGTGGCGTTGTAGCCAAATTTCCTGAGGCATCTATCTCATCAATGTACGGATGCAGTGAGTATACTGCTCTATTTTTTGCTATAATTGCATGACATCGTTCTCACAGAGGAGAGCCTTTCTTACCTGATCACAAAGCAATGCAAGTTGGTGTCAATACACGCGTATTTCCGAAGATTCACTTTTATTTTATTTCCACTTGAATTATAATTCAAATATTCTAAGATGGCGCTCAATTTCGGCTTCTCCGGTGAATAAGGTTAGGTATTGACCCCGAGATGTTTTTCGGTTGTTTTCAGCCTTTCTTCTCCCTTCTTCAAAATGTTAGGTTCGTCTCAGAAAATATTGATACTCAGAGTTTCATTTTCTGGACATTTTAACAGACATTTTCATCCTTCAAAGGCAAATGAAAGTGCTTCACTTTACTGTTTATGTTAACAATAGGCCAACTTCCTTTCGAACTCTCATGTTATTGTTGGTTTGTGGATTTTTGTTCTCGCTGACTGATTAATTAG